TAGCCACCTGTGGTGGGTTGAATTTGTCCCCCCAAAAGATATGCTTAAGTCCCAACTTCCAAAACATGTGAACGTGACCTTATTTGGAAGTAGGGTCTCTGTAGATGTAAGTGAGTGAAGATGCGGTCAGACTGGGTTAGGGTGGGCCCTGATCCAATCGCCGGTGTCCTTATAAGAAGAAGAAAGAACAGGGAGAAATAGGACGCAGAAGAGGGCCCCGGGAAGATGGAGGCGGAGAGCAAACCGATGCGGCGGTGAACCGAGGAACGCCGGGTTACCGGGAGCCACGGAAGCAGCTGGAAGGGGCAGGCCGGGATGCTGCCTGAGAGGCTATGGAGGGAGCACAGCCCGCTAACACTTGATTCCAGACGTCCAGTCTCCAGAACTGTGAATTAGCTCCTGTTGTCTTAAGCCACCCAGTTTGTGGGAATTTTTTATGGCAACCCTAGGAAACTAATACATGACCCCACTGTGGTCACCCCGAGTGGATCCAGGCCTGGGCGGGAGGGCAGTCTTGCCAGGTGGGTGGTCCTGCCCTCATGGAGCCCCTGGTCTGGAACCTCTCCTGGGCTGCAGGGACCACACAGGATATCCCCACCCCACCCCGTTCCTCCTGGGCCCACCCCTCCCCGTGTCCACACACACCTTTGGCTGCCTACCTGGCTGGTGGAGAACGGGCGGGTTTCTAGAAGACTGGTTAAAGGACAACACAGGCCCCTCTCCGGGAGAGGTTATAGGCAAGCGCGTGTAGTAAAGACACAGACTTTGTGGCACTTCAATGTTAAAAGTTTTAATTACACCCATTGCAATGGTAGAAAAAACAACAACAAAATGACAGCAGTAATAAAAGAACTCAGGATTCAAATCCCAGCGCTGCCACTGACTTGCTGTGTTACCCTGGGCAAGTTATTTAACCTCTCAGTGTCTCCGTTTCCTCTTTCTGGAGTCAGTTGTGAAGGTTTCATGAGTTCATCTCTGTGTGGCGCTCAGTGCCGAGTCTGACACACAGAAGGTGCTCCCTAAGAGTGGTGATCACGCTGTACTTCCTGGGTTCACACACACATGCGTTCATCATCCATTCGGCCAAGTTTTACTGAGTGTACGCCTCCTGTGTTCAAGGCTTGAGGCACCAGGGACCTGGCAGTCAGTAACACAGACAGAATTTCCATCCGCATGAAGCTGACATGCCGGTGGGAGAGACAGTCAGCAGAGGAACTGTGAACAGTGAAATATATGGTTTGTTGATGGTGACAAGTGCTATGGAGAAAAACAGGGGCGGGCACTGGAATGCACGGGAGGGGGAAGCCAGCCAAATGGCCCTGGAGGCCCAGTCTTCCTGCAGAAGAGCTGTAAGTGCAAAGGCCCTGAGGTGGCAGAAGGCCCTGGGGCTGGAGGGAGTGAGGGGGATGGGAGAAGGGAAGAGGTAGAGGTGAGGCACCCGTGGGTCAAGGTGAGGGCTTTGGCTTTTCCTGGGAGATTAGGGCCAGGTGTGCATATAAATATATATGTTTATTTTCTCTAATCCAAAGAGATAGTCACAGCATCACACTGGGGGCAGTAAAGGCATCGAGATTGGTGTGTTGATCACATGTCACTTGTGCCTCACATCTAATCTTCTCATGTTTTTAAATGAAAAAATTAATTCGCTTAACATGTGTGAAATTGACGGTTTGAAAGCAAAAAGGAGCGAGGAGGATCAAATCCCTGCCCACCAGAGTTCCGCCCATCCCAGCTCAAGGGACATCCATGAGGAGCTGCCCAGTCACTAATGGGGCCCAGATGTGCCCAGAGGTGGCCCTGGCCCCAGACCTGCCTGCCTGGGCACTTGCATGGCGAGCAGCTTTACGGCCAATTTATTTTCTGGACTCACTTGAAAGAAAAGCCCAGGGGAGGACCTCATGGCCCCCCCAGACCCTGTTGCTCCCCGTCCCATGTCCCCCACCCCCACAGCTCTGAGGTGCTGCTAGGACAGAGGGAAAGCTCAGAGGAGTAGAAAGCCAACCAGTACAAACAGAAAATCACCATTTGGCAGCCACCATAGTAATAATTGGCTTAGGCAACAATCACCAGTGAGGCCTAAAACTCGTGGGTGGAGGTTTGAGGAGCAATGGGGATATTCACATGGTCTCAGAATGTCTTCCCACAAGATACGGATTAAGTACAAAAGGGGGAAAGAGGAACTTTGCCCCGGCGAAACCGGCATGCACCACCTTAACCAAGCAGTCCACGCTGACATCAGCAGTAATGTTCAGACTGACCTGTGTGCCTCATGACACCTCGCACTAAGACACACCACCTCTGGGATTCTGCCCCAAGTGCACAACCCAAGCTTAATCTCCAGGAAGCGCTGGGAAAGTCCAATTTGGGGAACATCCTACAAACAGCTGGCCTGAAATCTTCAAAAATGTCAACCTCACCAAAGACCAAGAAAAGCCCTGGCTGGTTTGGCTCAGTGGATAGAGCGTCGGCCTGCAGACTGAAGAGTCCTGGGTTCGATTCTGGTCAAGGGCACATGCCCGGCTGCGGGCTTGATCCCCAGCAGGAGGCATGCAGGAGGCAGCTGATCAGTGATTCTCTCTCATCATTGATGTTTCTCTCTCTCTCTCCCTCTCCCTTCCTCTCTGAGATCAATGAAAATATATATTTTTTAAAAAGCAAGACCAAGAAAAGAGTTGTCTTGGAATAAAAGAGTAAAGAGACAGGACAAGTAAATGCAACCTGTAATGCTGAGTCTCTCCCCACCCCACCCTCCCAAGGACTATGGAGGCATCACTGGGGCAGCTGGAAAAACTTAATGACCGTAACCCATGATTATGGATTAGACATAGCACCGCACCAATGCTAAATTTTCTGATTTTGATTATTGAACTATGGTTATATGAATGTCCTTGTCCTTCAGAAATACATGCTGCCCACATGGCGTGGCTCAGTGGTTGAGCATCGACTTATAAACCAGGAGGTCACGGCTTGATTCCCGGTCAGGACACATGTCTGGGTTACAGGCTCGATCCCCAGTGTGGGGCATGCAGGAGGCAGCCAATCAATGATTCTCTCTCATTGATGTTTCTCTCTCTCTCTCCCTCTCCTTTTCTCTCTGAAATCAATAAAAATATATATTTTAAAAAGCCCCAGTGGCCGCCTCTGGGCTGCACTGTGACCCCAACCCCACAGGCTCTGCAGGATCTGGCAGGCCCACCAGCCCACCTGCCTCCCCAGCCCCTAGGCCCTGG